TTGAAACGGTCGTTGTTCTAGCGGATAGAGAAGATGAGGGGGTGAATGAAGCCTACCGGAACGTAACCCATCTTGCCACAACATACCCTACAGTGTTGGATTCTCTAAAAGAATCGCTGCATACCTGGCTCACTTCCTTTCCTCGGATCATGCAAGGCAACGATGAAACTGCTAAGCAGTGGGGGCTTCGTCAGATCTCCACCGTCTTCCAGGTCCTGTCCCAAGTTCAATCTGGATCAGATTTGCTTACCAGCGGTTTGGCGTCCGGCCTATGCGATAGCGTCGGTGCTGTTGTCAAACAAAACACTAATGCTCTCCAGCCGTTAGCCTCGATGGATGCTGGTTTCAACTGGGAGGTACTCGGCACCGATGCCAGATCCAAGGTGTTTCCACCCATTATTTTGGAACACCAAAGCCAGCAACAAACTCTCAAAGATCTACGATCAATGATTACTAGATTGAACTTGTCTGAGTCTGGAAATGAAATCACTCGGTCCATTGTCAACCGTATGCACACGACATCAAGTGATTCTGCCATCGCACCTTTCTGGTTGGCAATGACTTTCTTGCGGGACAGCACTACGGCAACAGCCGACTTTGACGATTTCATCTCTCTCGATCATATTGAGGGGTCCGTATCATCAACTAGTCGTGGTGGAATGATTGAAGAGTTGTATTACATCTCATTAAATATACTGAACGAAATGTCAGTTGATGGGACGGGTGACTGGCGTACATCGGCGCTAGCTCTGGAATCTGTGGCTCTCCAAGCTCAACAACTCGGCGAGGCTTTCCGACCTGAACTCATGGACGCGCTCTACCCAACTTTACAGCTGTTGGCGTCACAAAATCCCAACCTTCAACGCCACGCCATGACATGTCTCAATATCTTGACCAATGCCTGCAACTACCCAGATACGAGTACTATGATCATTGAAAACGTTGACTACTTGGTGAACTCAGTGGCCTTGAAGCTTAATACCTTCGACGTATCACCATATCCGCCACAGGTCCTGTTTATGATGGTCAAGCTTTGTGGTGCCCGGTTGATACCTTACCTGGATGATCTGGTTGATTCTATATTTGGTATTCTGGATCTATATCACGGCTATCCCAAACTCGTTGAGATGATGTTCAAAACCCTAGCCGCAGTCGTCGAGGAGGGGGCGAAGAGTCCGTCGTTGCTCACAATTGACGAGGGCAAAGAGAATGGCTCTCACGATACCCGCAAGTCTCAATACCAGAATCTCTCAATCTCAAGCATCGCCGCGAACATTGCCAACCGCAAAGCGAAACGATATGCTGAGGATGAACTAGCAGATCCTGATGGCAAAATCCCCCATCCCAAAAAGCCATGGTCAGAAACATACGATAAACCTCCTCCAGAGCCGTCCATCGAAGAGCTTCTGAATCAAGCTGAATCAGACGAGCCACCACTCCCACCCCCCAAAGAACCAGAAGACGCCGAGAAGCCGCTCAGCAAAACGCATGCCCTCCTCCTCCACATCGTCAAATCCATCCCATCTCATCTAACTTCACCATCCCCCTACCTCCGACGCTCCCTCCTCTCAATCCTCATCGATGTCCTACCCGCCCTATCCCAAAACGAAACCAGCTTCCTCCCTCTTATCAACGAGCTCTGGCCCACAGTGGCAAGCCGCATAATCTTCCCCTCATCGCAAGCAACCGAAACATCCAAATCCCTCATCGCCGCTCCATCAAAAGAATCAACCCGCAACCCCGAGACCCCAGACCACCAAGAAGAAACCTTCGTCACGGTGACAGCCTGCGAGGCCATGGAAGCAATGTGCAAAGGCGCAGGTGATTTCATGGCCACGCGCGTCGAGACCGAATTCTCCCGCTGGGACCGACTGTACCGTCGCGTATGGGAGAAAGTGCGTGCTGACGCCGAGGCCGCGAACGAGCGCCGTGCCAGGTCTCAGGCTACGACTGTGACTACAACTACAGCTGAATCAGGGGATCTGGCGTCTACTCTACACTTAGCCCTCTCTTCTTCGCTGTCGCTCTCGCCGTCAACGCCCGGGTCGAGATTCTTCACGCCGCATCACCGTCTATGGCGTGCGTTGGTCTCCCTCTTTATCACTGTTCTCTCGCATGTCCGGTTACCGTTGGAAGTGGGTGATAGGATTTGCGAGATGCTGGCTGGCTGGATTGCGCTGTTTGTCGGACCAGAGTATTATTTCATTACTTCGAGGACTTCTTTGTCTGTGGATGATGCGTCTGGTGAAGGTATGCTTTCTGTTGAGGATGCGATTCGGGCGATGGAGGCTTGGAATGTGGATTTAACATGGTTCATCTTTATGCAGCATCGCTTGAGAGCGGATGGAGTTACTGCAGGCAATGCTACGAACTGTGGTGGCGCTACTAATCTCCCCTTGAGTGACGAGGGGGAGCAGGTTAGACTTGCTGAGGTGGCGTTCTAGTTCTTGCATTTCGTTGTTGATAGCATTGCATGACATGAGATATGACTAGATTGTGTTTTGCTCTACTACATTTGTACATGTACTGAATTGTTACTAATGTGGATAGAAGATTGGATAGTTGATACCATTTTGATATTCATTGTAAAGGAGTGGCGACTGGTGAGCTAAATTCAAATAACAACCGAAGTGATCAGCCCATGCGAGATGGGAAGATCAGACAAAGGTCCAGAATGCTTGTGTTCAATTTAAGAATGGACGCAGATAGCAAATAACGAAGCAGACATGGTAGCGTAGGCGACTTTTATCGTCTACTCGCTATCTTCTTCACTCTCCTCGTCGCTCTCGGCATTCTCGAGCCACTCGATGAAGGGCTTAGCAGCCTTGTGGATCTTCTTGCTGGTCGAGATGTCGACGTACTTCTTGCTGGTCTTGGCACCCCATGCCTTGAGGGTTTCCTCAGACACAAGGTCGTTCTGGTAGTAGCCGAGCAGGATAGCAGGGACCTGCGCAACAAGCTCAGGGTGATCCTGACCAACGAAGCGCTCGGTACCACCGAGGAAAGCCTTCTCATGACGATCGGAGGTGATCAGCTTCTTGAGCAAACCAGCACGGCCTTCGATCTGCTTGGCGATCTTCTCGTCGAAAATGCTCTGCGCCAGAACGGCACAAGTCTTGTGCTTGGTCTCAATTCCGAACTCCTTAGCCTTCATGTAGATCTCAACATCGGTGACCTTGGTAACACCACCCTTCTCAGCAGCGGTGTCAACGATCCAGCTGCCCAACTGCTCGTAGGATGAGGGTCCATCAGCTCCCTCATCGTCACCATCCTCAATGACAAGGGCACGCTTGAGGTCGTCGGGGAGCTCCTTGGCGCGAGCCTTCACGGCCTCCTCGGAAACGTCGACAGCCCACTCATCATCCTTGATCTCAGCCTCAGCCTCGATGGCCTGGGCCTGACGGGTCACTTCATCGTCGCTGTTAGCCTCGAGGGCATAATCTCCGTCCTCGCCATTCTCGGAGTTGTTGCTGTCGCCAGGGCTGGCGTCCTCGCCATTAGCAGCCTTCTCCTTCTCTCGCTCACGGCGGGACTTCTTTTTCTCCTTCTTGCCACCCTTGGGGTTGTTGCGAACAATGAAGGTGCTCAGCTTAAGGCGAGGGTCGACATCGGAGCGCTGACCACAGGCCTTGCAGTCCAGGGTGATCTTCTCATCCTTGATGAAGACGTCGGTCTCGGGGTTCTTGCACTTCTTGCAGAGCACGAACTTGGAGATGAAGCCATCGAGGTAGTCCTGAAGCTTGGGGGCGTCGTGAGAACCGTTAATGATCCAACGGTCGTCGGAGGGCTTAGCATTGGCCTGGGCACCAAGTTCGAATCCGAAGTACTTGATGAGATAGGCAGGAGGACGGCTGAGGGACTGGGCAACCGAGTTCAGGTTGACGACAACGGTCTTAATACCGTTGCCCTTGCCCTCGACCTTAGCCTGGAGCTTCTCCATCTTGTAGCGATAGAAGGGATCGGTGATATCCCGGCGAATATTGACGGTGGCCATGATGACGGTTGAATTGAGTGATTGGGTCACTAGAATGGGACGGTGGGCTTGCTTAAGGGAAAGCTGGAAGGATTCTGGATGATGATTTTGTTGACGAGACAAGACATGCGTGTCAAGTTTCTTTTTTAGGGTATATGATGTGGTTTCTTAGGGGAAAGTCACAAGAAATCGAGGAAAGATCCGGGTTATTCAGCCACAGGATCGGAGATGTATGCTGCAAGGTTTCGGCGCGCGAAACGTTTGCAGCTTGAGCGGCAGGTGATGTTCGAAATTTTGGACGGAGGACGAATACATAGACAAGTTCGCGAAAAACTTCTCAACGTGTTGCTTTCTGGGAACGATTGAAGTTCTTTGGGGAGTACGAGTCAGAGGTCGGGGACCTTTTGGCGGACGGTGAAAAGTGATGGTGGCGAGGCCGAACTAACCAGTGATGAAAAATGAATAGCGTAGAACTGAAAGTCCACGCGGTAGGTAGATAAAGGCTTCGAAAATAACGATGCCTAGCAGTGTTTGTGTGTTGTTGGGGAAAAAGGAAGAAGAAGAAAATGGAAACGCAGAATTTGACAAATCACGGTTATGTCAGCCCGCACGTGCCGGAGTTAATTCGGAGTATAAAAATGACCGTTGGCAGTTGAATATAGTACGTGGGGGATCCTAGATATTCCATGGTTATTTTGTAGAGGCTTTTCTTGAGTTTAAGTTTATTTGTGTTTCAAAATAAACCCTTGACAATATTGAAGAAAATATAAGTGATATAAGTGAATTACACAATGTTTTATACATCCGGACGAGTACAGGCCGAACCTTTTAGACCCCACCACAGCCACACAACGAGAAACGGCAATCTCCTTCAGTCACTTAAGTCCGGTATTTTGTGTTTTACGAGTATAGCTTGCTGACCCTGTCAATACGCTCTTCGTTTCTGTTTGATTCTCATTCTCGAAACGACCTTGGACCTATTACTCCGAAACTCCCCGCCTTTCTCCGGCCCCAAGGCCAACACACCATGCCCGTAGATCTGTCGCTCTATTTGGTCACGGATTCGACCCCGGCCATTCTCAAGGGGCGTGACTTATGTACAGTGGTAGAAAGTGCTTTGCAAGGAGGTGAGTCGTTGTCTGGTCTTCCTGTCAATTATTCAACTAACCCCCGCTGCAGGCGTGACGGTGGTGCAATACCGGGACAAAACCAATGACACTGGTCTCCTGGTGGAAACTGCCCGGAAACTACACCAGGTAACCAAGAAATACAATGTGCCTCTTCTGATCAATGACCGGGTCGATGTGGCCCTTGCTATTGGTGCCGAGGGCGTGCATCTAGGTCAAGATGATATGAGTACGTTTTCACGTTTTACAAGTATACATGTACTAATTTGAATATAGACTACACTGAAGCAAAGAAGCTTCTTCCCGAGAATGCGATTATTGGTATCAGCACATCCTCAGTCGAAGAGGCCAAAAAGGCTGCTGCAGATGGTGCCGACTATATCGGAATTGGTACTATGTTTGCCACCCCCACGTAAGTCTGCATGTCTAGTATCTCATCCAGCAACAGGCGCTAACAATCCACAGCAAAACCAATACCAAGTCAGTCATTGGGACGGCAGGTACTCAAGTCATCCTAGACGCCATTAAAGATTCCACCATAGGCACTGTTTCCATCGGCGGTATCAACCACTCCAACGTGCAACGAGTGCTCTATCAGTCTCAGTCACCACAGAAAGCCCTGGATGGAGTTGCCATTGTCAGCGCCATCGTGGCAGCCGACGACCCTAAAGCATCCGCCGAGCAATTCGTCCAGCTCATCCGAAACCCTCCTCGGTTTGCGCAGGCTTCCAATCCCCCTCGTGCTAACGAGGCCGAGGTCTTGTTGAATGAGGTTCCCCAAATCATCCGTAAGATGGTAGGGGTGCACCCTCTCGTACACAACATGATCAATTTTGTTGTCTCGAACTTCGTGGCCAACGTTGCCCTTTCTATGTCAGTATAATGTAACGAGGCAAGCCATTTTCCATTCTAACCATCTACAGTGGCGCATCTCCCATCATGTCTCCATATGGTGACGAAGCCACAGATTTGTGCAAGTTTGATGGCGCCTTGCTGATCAATATGGGTACATTGACTAGCGAGAGTGTCCCAAACTACCTAAAAGCCATCAAGGCATACAATGAGCGTGGGAACCCAGTGGTCTACGACCCAGTTGGTGCGGCTGCGACACACATTCGCCGCAATGCGGTCACTCAACTTATGGCCGGCGGTTACTTTGATCTAATTAAGGGTAATGAGGGCGAGATTCGCCAGGTTTGGGGAAGCAGTGCCGTTCAGCAGCGCGGTGTCGACAGTGGACCAAGTACCCTTGACGGCAATGAAAAAGCCGCATTGGCTCGAGACCTGGCTCGCAGGGAGCGTAAGTAAACAAGGAGTCTCTAGCTGTTGTTCCCTTTTTTCTAATTCCATATAGGAAACGTCGTCCTATTGACCGGAGCAACAGACTACCTCAGCGATGGCGAGCGGGTCATTGCCGTCGAGAACGGCCACCCATACCTAGGCCAAGTGACCGGAGTAAGCAACCTCTCCCAATCTTTTTTTATTATACAACTAACATGGATTTACAGACCGGCTGTGCAATCGGCACAATCTCCGGTTGCTTCTTGGCTGCCCACCGCTCCGACAGACTCCTCGCAGTGCTGTCTGGAATTCTCATGTACGAGATTGCAGCAGAGAACGCAGCGGCCAAAGAGTATGTTCGCGGCCCAGGCAGCTTCGTCCCAGCGTTCGTCGACGAGCTTTACGCCATCCGCACAGCGGCAGCAAACGGCGATGACAGCTGGTTTGCCGGCCGGGCCAAGGTGCATGAGGTGAAGCTATAGATACCTAGATTAGTAGACGAGCGATATGTACATACTGCAAAAGTTTGATCAGAATTTATTGAACGTTCAATAAAAGGATCCAAGACAATGCACATGAAGTATACCAGACCATCTTCCCTCGGCTGCTTCCCCGCATCTCCGACTTCTCCGATTCCCCGCGTTCCCCCGCCAATCCTTCTCTTCTTCTACTTCTTCGACTTTTATATCCCATCAGAAATCTCCAATCCTCATATAGAAGCTATCTCCAGCCCATCGCAATCATGGCTGTCTCCACGCGCGCATCTCGGATCCGTAAGAACCCACCGAATCTCACAATGCAAGTCACTAACATTATACCAGGCAATCCCGCACTCTTGTACGCAGAATTTCCAGTATCAAAAGAACAAGGATAACCCCAAGACCAGAACTGACAGACCATCCCAACACAGCATCTGCGATATCCAAGAGAAATTCCGCGCAATCTACGAGTTCCCCAAACTGTACGAATCCCATATCCCAAACCCCAATCGGAAACAAAGACTAATCAACCAAACAGCGTCTCAACGACAGAAAAAATGCTCCGCGCAGCCTCAACCCTCCAAATGCCCGTGTACATAACCACTCAAAACCGCGCTAAACTCGGCAATACCGTACAAGAACTCCAACAACACCTTAACGGCCCACACGTTCTCGCCGATGTAGACAAAACCCTCTTCTCAATGATAACCCCGGAGATCGAGAAGCTTCTCCCAACCCCAGACGTGACGCCCCTCGACGTGATAATCGTTGGGATCGAGACGCACATCTGCGTGACGCAGACGACGCTCGATCTCCTCGAGCGCGGTCACCGTGTTTATATCCTCGTTGATGGTGTTAGCAGTATGAACTCCGAGGAGAGGGGGATTGCGCTCGATAGGTTGAGGGATGCTGGAGCTATTGTTACGAGTAGTGAGAGTGTGCTTTTTGAGATTCTGGGTGATGCTTCGCATGAGGCGTTCAGGGCTGTTAGTGGGCTTGTTAGGGAGACGAAGGAGAGTACCAAGGGAGCTTTGGGGGCTTTTTCGAAGATTTGATTTGATAGAACTTGGCACTTGACTTTTCTATACTAGAAGCCCAAGGAGAGAATCCATTATTATATTTGGCTACATATATCTATTATTTAGTTGAATAGACTGTTTGGTATAACTGATTTTCAGTAACTCGAAAACGTCAGTTTTCTTGAAATCCGGAGGATCTTGGTATCCCAGCCACACACTCAGCTTTACACCAGCGGATTCAGCTTCACGCGCGAGCGAAGATGGCAGCGTCCACAGTCCTGCGGGCAAATACTCGTCTGTCTCGTGATCAAAGATTCCTTCAGATGAGTGAATGTTCACGGTGTGTAGATGTGGAAGATGGACCCTCTTATGCTGAATCAGATCAAGAATAAGAGTATCGTACGGTGAATCATGACCCTCCCATAAGAATTTAGTGAGATCTGTATCGTCGTAAAAGATCTCCAATACCTCCAGACTGCGAGGTAAGCCCTTCCAGACCCCAATCGGATCATCCCACCCGCAGAGGAAGACATGGTAGATACGCAGAGTTTTCAGGGACGTGAACTCGCTCAGGTCAATACGAGGTCCATCCCCCAGTCCTTCATGGACAAGCGGTGGCCGCGTCAGTGTCAGTTCTGTCAATGTTGCTTTTTGTGATTTCAGTGCGCGCACAAATGCAGCACATGCCCAGCTATTGGCTGGCTCATCCCCGTAATGGCCATCCCACTCGCCTTGGTCGGCATCGTAGTGAAGGGTTTCCAAAGCTGCTGGCCAGCTTAACAAAGCGGTTAGAGCCTCTTCATGAGCCCCACAATCAATCAGTCTTAGAGATTTCACAGGAGAAGTGCCGAGATGTGCGTTGTTTTCAAATTCCAATGGCTCCCAATCGCTGAACTTGTGGATTGTAAGGGTTTGTATGTTGGGGAGCCAAAAGAACTGATGGATATCATAAATTGAGTCGTCACATGGAATGATCGCCGAGATGATGTGTTCCTTGAGACTCGGGTTCTTCTCAAAGCTCCGATTTAGTTGTTGCAGTGGAACCGGCTCGCCGATGCGGCCATATCTGCGGATAAATATATCACGATAGAACAGTGGCTGTAGAAGAAGACTGTTCATGGGATAGGTGGCGAGCAAGAAAGAACGAAGGTCTTTGACGCTCGGTGATTGATCATGCTCGATCACGTAGCGGTAGGCATCCCCAAGTTCAGAGAATAGCAGTGGTTCCTGCTTCGTGCCCATTTGTAGGTAGTCAACGATAGCGAGAATCAATTCAATTGGAAGATCCAGCAAACGCGCCATCGTTATTGCTCTAGATTCTGGTCCTGGATCAATTCCAAATTTGGCAGTGACGAAGAAGATGACGATGGTGATCTAGCTAGGGGAGAGAAGAAAGGTTGATTCTCTACACACAAACAGAGAGCTATCTAAATAGCTAGGGGAGGCCCACAAACCAGGCAGACCAGGCACCAAGGCTGGTGACTATCTCAACAGATAATCCAGGCTCCAGTCCTCGAGGGCTCCAAGGCTCCAGGGCTCGCTTTATTGATTACTAATGTTTACTAGCGCCTACCCTAGTTAATATTGGCATTGGCCATGTGAATTTAGTGGTAATCATAACAATTTTTTTCTCTTTTTTTTAGTTACTTGGTAGTTCCTGTTCGTTGCTATCGATTCCGGCAATACTACAAGCTAAAAAAAGAAGAAGTGGCCTTCTCTGTTGGCAGCCTTGGAACCCAGCGCCTGATCCAATTCTCACTTTTTCCTGATTCCTATGGAATCGCAACCTTTCCGTATCATGCCGTAAGACCAAGATCATTTCAGATCCGGATGTAATCAAACATAAAATCCAAGCCTAGTCTGTTCCATCTAGGACGAGGTGTTGTGATGGGGCGGGTTGAGCCATCCAAACGCCGATGCATCACCCACGGGATTCAGCGTACCATGCTTGTCCGAAGGGGTAGCTGAGTGGTGGGAAGAAGTAAGCGGCAGAGACGACCTGTCGGCCTGTTCGGTGGTAGCACTGCCAGGAGCTGATGCCGAAGTTGTGGTGTTCGCATGGCTAGAGGATTTTCCGGTGCGGAAGACTTTCATCTCGCGTTTATCAGCAGGCTTTTGGGAAGTTTTGGTGGATTTCTTAGCATCGCGACGCCATGAGCCGGCCCAAGAAGGCATATCCTCAGTTTTAGTAGGCTCAGAAGTCGCTGGATTGGCAACGGCTGGGCGGGTTTCAGCTGAAATGTGAGCATGAGTCTGGGGGTTATGTAGATTGGACTTGTGGGGATCGCTATTCTCACTGCCAGGCAGACGGGTCGATGGGGGTACAGAGACCGGCTTTTGTTGAACATTGGCAGGCCGACCAATGACACCAACGGATGGGTTTCCGTTAGTAGGTGGTCCCAATATGTCTCCAGAATTGGGAGTACCAGGACAAGTGCAAAGAGATTTGAACACGGCGTCATTCTCGGGACGCACAAGGGGGATAGATACGCGGTTGTGCTCATCGTCCACCATGATCAGTTTATCTTGCGAGAACAAAATATCAGCATTGTGTGCACGCATCACATCGCTTCCAATGATTATTTGAATCGAGTTATCGCCGACTTCTGTCTCGCGAACCACAAAGCGGACGGTCACAGCAGGAACTTGGTGAGTAGGGGTTCCGGGGCGCGATGAAGATGGATGAATCAGTGCTTCAGGAAGATAGAGCGGAAGCTTGATGTACTGCACATCGCACTCGCGCACGATCATGTTCTCCAGCCCATATTCGCGGATCATGGAGAGACCCAAAGTTGAGACGTAAGAGCCCGAGCAAACGGCTGCATACAGGAGAGAGCCATTAGTGAAATGATCAGTCAACCAGCACCGAATGATGGACGGGACCGGTCCCAGCAAGAAAAGTCCAGGAGGGGGAATCAAAGGGGACTCGATAGGCGTGGCACCAAGCAGCCGAGTTGTGTTCAGGCGCAGGCTATTAGTGCGAGCGGAATGGTGTGAGTGACCAGATGAGCTCAAACGCCCATCAGATTGGTGAGAAAATGTCCGCTCAAGAAGCGGGTGGGTACTCAACCCGCTGCTGGTCCGCAGAGGGAGGTCGTTGCTGGAACGGCTAGCCTGGGCGCTCCCGTGGATAGCACTTTCGTCGAAACGTACACTGTTGGCTCGCGACGCACCCCGTCGAGGCTCGTCTTCGCCGTCAAATACCACCCCAGAACTGGCCATTGCGGAATGGGGACCTTGATCGAAGCCTTTGAAAGCATCCGGGGGTGAGTGGAAAGTGGGGTCTGGGAGGGATATCTTGGTAAGTGGCGAACTGATCCCGGAGGGCAGAGGTGGACTACCGGGAGCGATCGTCCCAGCCGAGTGCGGAAATGGCGACACAGTACACCAAGGACTCCTCAGTCGGGCATCGTCGTCTCGGCGACGCTCCAGTTGCGCGAGCCGTTCTCCTTGCTCGTACTGGGCAATGTGGAGCTCCTTCAACTCGTCAAAGACACGCCAAATGTCGTCACGGGAAGCAAAGGGATACTGCGCATCCATCGCCAGCCTAGTGTTTAGAATTCAAGGTGAAAAAAAGAAATAAACAAAGAAAGCAGAGAAAGTCGCGCGGGGTAGTTGGAACACTCCACCCTACGGGCAGGGACGCGAAAGGCGTGTCACTTGAATTCGACACCTTCTCTCCAATATCTCCTACCGCCTTCGATCTGTGAGACGGCCCACCGGCCGTCCACCCTGTCTTCGAAGGACAAATATCCGGAGGCCTGTTCAGAACATCCAGCAGCAAGTTTAAAGAAGATGGACAATGGTATTGGCGCAGATGAAGGGAACGCGCTTCAAGATGTTTGGTATCGTGATGAGGAATTTTTGTTGGAGTTTTGGCTATCAACAGACAATTCCAACTTCACAGAAAGACGCGAAGAAGTACTCGGTGACGTAGGATATGCGATGCGCCAGGGAGAAGTTGAGTTACGGGTGATTTGGCTATCGAGGTCCCAGTGAAGTGAGGCGATTATCAAGAGTAAACACAGATTGTGATTGTAGAGGCGTGAAGTATGGTAAAGACACGAAGACAAATTTTTAGGTAAAAAACCTAGCAACGGGAGGAAAGGATTATTATTGCGATGAGTGAGTAGCGTATTTCGGATAGAAGCCATTGTTACCAAAGAATATGGTAGGCGGTGACGCAGTAGGGCGGAGAGCAAAGGCGGAGAGAAACAGGCGGAGAGAAACAGGCGGAGAGTTTGGAGGAAAAGGTCGATCATAGGCCCCCCCAACATAGATCTAGACCTTCTTTCCACTATTCCACAACGGTCTATCCATACATACCTACTTCACGTGTATGGGATCCGATTTTATGACAGATCGAGTAAGACCCATGCCCTGCTATCTACTATTTGACGGCTGAATTTCACCCTCTTGGTGTGCATCGCACGCTGCAGAACCTCGGGCTCATCCATGTTTAATAATTTGTATCTATTTGATAACTATCCTCAGTATTGCTGTTTGCATATCTAAGGCTATCTAATGTCGTGAACAGGACTTACTTTTTTCCACGCCGCTTGGTATCTTAATAACACTAGATTTTTTTTCTCTTGGTATTCCTTCGTTTAATTTATCTGTCTTTGTTAAAAGGTTCCTTTCATTGCCAGCACCTCAGAGCTCTCCAGTAGATCATCTGATTGTATATTTTTCATCATGGCTCACTTGGCATGTGAATCCGATTAAGGAGATGCACTTGAAATTGATTATATTCTTATAGAAAAAGCTAGATGGAGACTCCCTAGATTAGCAGATGGTGACTCTCTAGCAGAAAAAGAAGGTTATGTGGTAACTAGCTCATATATTTTTCGAGTTCAAGAAGCATCCCTTCAAAGTGATAGGCTCACTTATCTCGATGGGAGATGTAATAAACATTTAAGGCCTCGCAGATTAATTACCATTCCGAGTGGGAAAGGGGCCGCTCGGCCCATTCTATTTCTCCTTCATGCTTACAGGTTATGCTAGAGTCCTACCTCGCAATAATAGCTAGCGGCGAGATTGGCCTATACTATCCGGGGACATTATATCCCTCTCTTAAGAGACGTCCAACCAGGCGACCAATTCTTTCTTAAGTATCCCGACGATAAGTGTGATTGTATTCTGCTTAATGACTCTTTCGATATTGTAGAACTTATAGATTAGGAATAGACGCAAACTGTCTTTAGGGCAAGATCATCATATTCTCCGTGTATGATATTGCACATGAATTGCGGCTAGCTATATTTCGTGAGAAGGGCCGTGACGATCTTACCAGCTATATCGTCGAGGGCAGAAAGGTCTAACGACTTTTCTTCACTCTTGGGCCTAAGAGCTTCGTTCCAGATATGAAGACACTTCCACGTCTATTCACAGGGCTGTGGCGGGTCTTCAGCTTCGAAGACGAGGAATGGAAGGTCGAGAAGAGCAAGGCTCTCAAGAGGTGAAAAGATGGTAGCGTATTTCTTAGCTTGTTAGAACTACTGTAGCCTAGCAAACTGGAGGGCAGGAGCCAGTCGACAATGGGACAGCACCATGTGGGAGCCAAACAATGTTCACTCGGGTTATGTCGGCTTCTCTCCGCATCCACCCGCGTCCATATGCCCCACAATTCTTATCGTAGGTAATCATGGATCCCGCGTCGGATTATCTTGATTCGGATTATCCTCCTTCGGATTTATCCTCATCATCGTCTGGAGACAATAAAAAGAACGCTCCAACCATGGATTCACGCCCAACTGCCAAGGAGTTGCTGGGTACGTACAAGATTTGAGCCACTGCAGCTACAACTCATTGCATTTTCACTAACGATATATTGCGGTAGATCGCGTCGACTATGATATCTCGCAGCTGCTGCAGCGGTTCGAGAACATTGTTGCCATTGCTGCCAACAAGTTCGACGGCACCAGTCATGTTGATGCTGCTGTAGAGGCTTTCCAAATTGATGTCGAATCCACCGCCTTGGTAGGTCGATATGCGCCGCCCCAGTCTTACCTGGCTCCATTTTCCCAGGAAGAATGCAATTGAGCTTCCAAATCTGCAACCAAGCGCAAGACTGACATTCAGCTACTTTAGATCCGTGCCGCGGAGGATTTGCTCGCCTTGCACCGTCTCATGAAAGAGCTGTGGCTCTTCGGCAAGCTTGACACCCTCGGCGAAGACGAACGTGATGTCAAGCGTCGCGAGAAGCTCGAGGAGGACGTGGAGGCCATCCAAAAGGCCCTTGACGGAGGATTACTGATGCCGTCGTTGGCTGAGCCCGAGAACCCTGAGAAGTCAGAGGACAC